ATATATATATATATATATTCCCCTGGGGAGTGGTGTTGCCCTTATTAATGGGTTGTTGAAAGGTGGTCACCAGCAGGCTGGATGTGTTGAAATAGTGAAATCATGTGTTTGCTCCTGACATAAAAAACAGACCACCACAGCTAATCAACCTTAGCAAACACTAACATAGTGACAGCTCAGTCAATAATGTAAATATTGAGCTAAAATATCAAGAATGATCACCACCACATACTCCGAGGCCTAACAGGTTATGCAAGAATTTTGTAAAAAATGTAATTAACTATTGAAGTTTATCCTCAGAAGAGAAATAAAATGGTCAAACACAACCGGTTTTACAGACACTGAGCTTTTTCACAACACATATTCCAAGTGGTAACATATTACACAAGAACTTGTTCATAACATTATCTTTAAGAGTTAACCAACCGATGCATGAAATGTTTCATATTTGGAAAATCTTGGTTTAAAACTCTGACATGATTTTGGATCTTTTTGGATTTACCATGTTCTGGATGACTGGGAATCTGCACCAGTGGAAGGTACTTTGTGTCTGATTGACTGACTCTACAGACACTCTTATATTTTATGCTTAGCGATCCATTGTAATAAATTACTTTAAACTGAGAATTAAGTCTATTTTAATATGTGTCTTGCTCCAACTAAAGGTAATATTTTACATTTTAAAAGTTTACTTCCTTGTTAACCATGACATCATATCCAGGGTGGGTATAAATCTGTTTGTCACTTGTTGTTTGACACAACTTCCTGCGTCTCTGAAGTGAGGGGGGGTTGGAGAAATGGACCAGATCTGAAGTTATGTCTGGTATGTGCTACATGTTTGAAATAAATATTCAAGTTTGAGAATTAAATCAATCTCCTGCACATAACCTGGTCACTCATTATCACCAGCATCCCTTTAAAGAAAACTTGTGTCAGGATATGTGGATTTTTGGATGTTTTAATGTCTGTGGGGTCGGCATATTTRTTTGGTTTCTGTTGTTCACAGCTTCTCGATTGTTTTCCCCAACCAATTAGTTCCGTTCCTGCCCCTCCCACTCATACCTGCTCCTTGTTCTCCTCACCTCCCCAGGTGTTTGTTATTTCCCTCATCAGCCTTAAAATCCTGTCAGGTTAGTCTTGTGCCTCCCTGGTGCATCGTGCTGCAWGGTCTGCCTGTGTTTGCCCCTGCCTCGTGTTTGAGAGGTTTTAGGCTGTGAGTGTGTTTATTTCTCCTTTTATGATAAATGACTTTAGTTTTACCTTTGAGTTTGGGTTTGCTCATGCCGACAAACATGTCACTTGGTCTTTTAGTTTTTTTTTCTTTTTTGTCAGAGCAAATCTGATGCTATTTGACATTTTAAATGTAAATCATTACAATGCATTCATAAACAGCACAGTAAAAAGTGTATTCTAAAATGTCAACTTCACTTGGCACACGAGTGCAAAAGAATTCAGTTTTTTTAATTCCATTTATGTTGATTTAACTATTTCTCTCTCCAAACAGGCAATTTTAAAGAAAGGCCATGAGGTCCATAAAGGGCTTGTGTGTTTTGAAAAATAGACTCGCAAGCTCAGAAAATGATGTTTGATTCTGTATGTTTCATTCAGGGCAACAGATGTTCAAAAAGTAAAAACAACAACAAAAAGAAAAAAAAACAACTTGAATGATCAGTGAACATCTTACTCTGAGGCTAAACAGGGAAAGCTCTCACTTTAAGGCCCTGTCGCACTATAATGTACTAAAAAACCTTTTGTCTGAAGATGGAATGAAAAATAAACTGGAAACATCTTTTGAACGTATAATGTACATACTGCAATGCCATAAGATCAAATACTGTATATAACCTATGAGGCATTTAAATTTTCACAAGGTGACAGGGCCTTTAATGCGTTCATAAACTGCACTGTAAAACAATGCATTTATAATGGTTAGCTTCACTATTGTGCATTTTATAGAAATGTAAATTGTGTTTGTTTTAATTATAATTAAATGACCCATATATTTAGTAAATGTGGTTTTATAGTTGACATTAATTTCAGCTGATGAATGTGTGCTAAATTTACAATACAGGTTTATGAATGCACACAAACACACACGTGTTTTAGTTTTGATAATACAAAGTTTTATAGATCTGGCCTCTGGGCCTTCTTTCTTTTTTATTATGTTAACATTGTGGTTAAATTAATATAAAGCTTATCTTTTTTATATTCCATCTACTCTTTATTTATCCCCTGCTTCTTTTTTTATTTTCTGAATCACTGTGTTTAAACCAAATACCGTCTACTGTTTTTAAATGTGCCTAATGAGCCCCTATAAATCCAAGCCAGCCTGAGAGGGAGGCTCTCAGGAGCAGCCAAGGTAAAAATGCTCCTATAAAGGCATCCTGAAAGAGAATAATATCATAACAGAATCTGGCCGTGATAAGTAGCTACCTTTTTATTTTTTTTAGCCAGAGGCAGTGCACAGAGAGCTGGGCATCTGGCAAGTGAGTGTGGGATAAAGACAAATAAAATAAAATACAAAATTAACAGTTTGGGAAAACTTTCCTGATGCATCTCAGTAATCCAGGTAGAAAATAATCAAAAAGAAAAAAATAAGTAGGTCCTCTGGACGGGTTCTTCTTTAGTGAAACATTTCGTCTCTCCTCCAGGAGACTTCTTCAGTCTGATGAGTTTCAGGTGAACTCAGCCTTATTAGCACTGCCTCCACATGGTGGACGAACAGGTTAGTCACATGCAAAAGAGGGCCACTGACTAACAATAGGCTTGATTGGCTCTATTGTTCATAGAGGGTCATGTGCCCCAACACCTGACCCGTGTCGTGTTATGTGAATGTAGTGAATGTAAGTGGGGGTTTGACATCCCCTTGTTTTTGTCCCTCCCTCCCTCTTTGTGTTGGGTATCATTGGGGCCCTGATTCACACCTTTTTGCTCACAGGCGACTGAGTCAAATAACAGCATTGTAGGAGGGGGACAACTGGACACGAAGGCCTCCACCTCTGTTTAATGGTGGACGTTTTTTCTTCCCAAAGATGGCTTCCTTTACCCCTCTCTCAAACCAACATTCCTCTCTATCAAGAATGAGAACATCTTCATCCCTGAAAGAGTGACCGCTGGCCTGTAGATGAGTGTAAACTGCAGAGTCCTGACCCGACGATGTAGCTCGTCTGTGTTGGGACATTCTTTTGAACAGTGGCTGTTTTGTTTCCCCAATGTATGACTGATCACAGTCCTCCTCACACTTAACAGCATATACTATATTACTCTGTTTTTGCTGGGGAACTGGATCTTTGGGGTGAACAAATCTTTGCCGTAATGTGTTTTGGGGTTTGAAAGCCACTGGGACGTCATGTTTAGAGAATAAACATCTCAGTTTCTCTGAAACTCCCGCCACATATGGAATGATGGCTGATTTGAGTCTGGGTTTGGGGTCTTCATTTTCACCTGAAGGTTGCATGGAATCCTGTCTGTGTTTCCTGTCTGCTTTCAAGAAAGCCCAGTCAGGATAACCACACTGCTCCAGGGCCTGTCGTGTGTATGATTTCTCTTTCTCCCTGGCTCCTGGGTTTGTAGGGACACTGTCTGCTCTGTGGTACAGAGTCCTGATCACTCCTAACTTGTGTTCCAGTGGGTGGTGGGAGTCAAAACGCAAATACTGGTCTGTATGGGTGGGTCTCTTGGAGGAGAGACGAAACATTTCACTAAAGAAGAACCCATCCAGAGGACCTAATTATTTTTTTTCTTTTTGAGTTTGGGAAAACATTTCCTAAATATTAGTTATGAAAGGGTTAATGGGCAATCACGTTTGTTTTCCTGTTTTCTGGCATTTGAAAATAAAAAGACGAGCAGCCTCATCATGCTCAAGCCTCATTCATGAGGAGGAAGCTGCAGTTGCAAGGCAACATTAAAATGTTTAGAAGAGAGAGGAAAAAAAGGAAAAACTGAGGAAATGTTAATGCTAACATGGCAGAAAAAATGATTTTCAATTTTTATTACAATTTAAAATCTTAAATATAATTTTATTCTTAATAATAATAAAAATTATTGTCAAATGAAAACAATAAGTGTGTGAAAAAGGCACAGATAAGCGGGTTCTGTAAACACACATACCAAGCAATTACGTAAAGACAAAATATTATTACACATACTGTACATTTATTAATGGCTTAAAATAACTCAGGTGACTGCAGCATTGTGTCCATTCAACTGATGATTACTTTACTGGATCCATCCTCCAGTTCTGTCACACAGGAGTGACCCGCACAAATATGCACACATGCACATCTTACCATGTAAGTAGATTTTAAAGAGGATTAAATATAATTTAGAACATTTAAAGAGTAAAATTTGTGAACAGGTAGAGTCACTGGGAGAGCTGAGCTGATGACATTTTTCTGTTGATTTCCCGCTCTGACCTGTCGATTCGCACATTTTGTTAAAACTGCATGTGATATATTTTGTCAAATAATTCCTAGGTAAAAAGTAAAGTAGTAAAAATTGAATAAGATGATTCAAAACAGCCCAATGTTGAAGAGCTTTTTCATTTTTTTCCCATTATTCTCATGTAAGATTAAAAATAAATATTTTGCCAAATCTTGAACATAAACCCACCCCAATTCACACTTTTTTCTTGTTTTTCTGTTTTAAAAGACTCATATAAAAACACCTCAAAGCAATGTCCAACACTGAGTAAACAAAAATTAATAAATGTTTCTGTGATTTCCTGTTAAATTTGTCAGATTCTTAAAGTCTTTACATCTACAGGTATGGGAAGGTACATCTTCAGAAACAAAACAGGTAAACTATTAAATCTAAACTCACATTTTTCAACTGGTTGTTGTTGTTGTTCTATTCTGTCAATACAATCTTTATTTGTTTATTTTACAGGATCCCCATTAGTCTCCAAAGCAGCGACTTACTCTTCCTGGGGTTCAACAATAGAAAAGCTTTAGCATACTGATAGTATTAGCAGTAAAATAAGAAGCATCAGAAGCACTGTTTTATCAAACATATTTTTTTTTATATCGATCACATGTCTATTGTGAGATGTTTTATCATTTTACCGCCCATCCGAGGTTTTCACTCAAGAAAAACATCTGTATTAAAGGTTTCCAAATGCAAGTTAGCAGCTTAGTGAAAGTACATTCGTGAATTAAGTAAAATTAAAAAAATAATAATAATAAAGTTAAAATCTGACATTTCAGTGCAAAAGCTGTCAACAGAGCAACAGACTAAATCTCTGTGCCTGAATAATGCAGCACTGAAAACTCTCTTCAACTTTTATCAGTCAAGTAAAACTGAAGAGCAGACAAAATTTAGACATCTGCGTCAGCTGAAAGTCCACATGCATATGTGCATTTATTTTCGTTAGGTGGGTTTTATTTTTTTTTTTTTTTTTTTGGGGGGGGGGGGGGCTCTAAAAGCTGCAGGTACCCATAATGGTCATGCTCCAAAAAACTCACAACACCTGGCACAGATGGCGTGGCATAAGTTAAAGCTTTTTTTTTTTGGCTATTAAGAAAGAAGCTCACAGGTGCTCACCTAAATTCTGTCTGCCTTTGCAGGACTGTCATTAAAGTGGTTAAAATAAATGCAAGCACTTAATTTCTTTTCTAGCTGAGCCGTGACAAAGAAAGTGTCAACACAGGTCACTGCTGATGACTGTTCTATGAAAAACTTCAGCTTCTGTCTCATTGAACCGTCAGCGCAGGTCAATGTTTCCTCTTTTGAGTATTCTGTTTGTAGAAAGGCCTCTGCTGTCACCATGGTAATATGAGCACCATCCTTTCAACGGTTTTAGAGAATAACACAAACGCACACTCAGAGTGTTCTCGCCCACTTCACAGTCACAGTTTGTAGGGTAAAAAAAAAGAGCACAGTGTGAAAAGAAATTGCAAAAAAATAAAAAATAAATAAATAAACAGGACTGCTGGACGTTTTGTTACCTGAGTCCGAGCTGTACATGTAGACAAACTTTGTCCAACCGTAGTGCTCGATGACTCCCACCAGGGCGTCCTGGAGCTCGGGCCTCAGCTGGATGACAAACTGGTTGGCCGTCTCTATGGGGAAGGACGGCGTGACGAAGCAGACGTGCAGCGCTCCGCAGAAGGACATGAGCATGTTAACCGTTTTCCTGTCATACAGTCCGATGATGGCGTACACTCCTTTGGAGAACTGGGAGCAAACTGGGGAAAAACACAGAAAAGAAAGTGATCAGACAGAATATTTGGGCATTTTTTTAAATGCCCATAAGAACCAATAAGGAACAAGAATCCTGAAGAATATATGCACAAGTGTGGCTAAGTTCTGTACAAATTTCAGTGCTGCAAACCTTAAACTAGCTCTAAGATCTAACAGGACTCTTTAAAGCTTCTACAAAACACTACAAAAATATTCCACACTAAAACTGGCCCAGTTATCTGCACATTAGTTTCATCATTGCATATTTTGTGAAAGCTTTTAAAGATTGTGTGTCAGCACTTTCACCAGTAGGAATGCTGCGTTACAGCTGGAGCTTACACAAGCTGGCAAAACGTGATTGCATCAGTTGCACCGCTTTTCCCTGAAGTCCTACTGTGCTACGCTAAAACACACACGCGTTGTATGTTTTTGGCACAAGCCACTTCAACATTCAGACCTGATAAACCGAGCGGGAAGTCAAGATCCAGAAATGGAAAGAGGATTTTGGTCAGTTTTCTAGATTAAACGCTGAAACTCACAAAGCCAAATTGGAATCTGACACAGCTCATAACAAACAACGGCTCCAGCTCCGTTTGTCTTTGAATTTTAGCAACGTTTGTAACTTTGTATCCATATTTCCAAAACGTTTTTCTAATATGTTTCAGTTAGAAAAAAAGAAGCTAACACCATGGAGAGCCGCTGCACAAAGCAGACTGACATGACTAATGGCTCCAACAAAAGAGAGATTCGGAGTCACCCCTAATTTACACTACATGCGTCTCCGCTCCGCTCCGGTCCGACCTCCGCAGCAAATACACACCCATTATAACCAATCAGAGTGTTTACACTGGCTGCACACGGCGGCGGTGAGCCGGCAAAATTAGAACGATCCTATTTCTGCCAGACGCCGGAGTTCCGCCGGAGTCAATTTTTAAAGATTACGTCGCACCAACAGGAAGAGAAAAGAGCACAACATCTGTATTTACAAATTAAGACACTATTAGATAGGATAATTTGTCGGAATAATGTCGAAATCCCAGCTATATTAATCAATATATGGATATATTTCTACACAAATGCTATCAGAAGGTATCGTTCTGTTTGGGAAGCAGATGAAAACGTAGCATGAAGCATGTGTACACACACAATACACGTGGATTTTATTTTGAAATCAGAAAGAAGACAGCGAGACAATTTCAACATAGATATCAAAAGCTTTTATATCAATGTTTTCAGCTGTGTTTGGAGTTCGTCTTTCACAGAATTTATTATTTTTTTCAGTGACTTCCACATTTATCACTAAATTTATCGCGCAATCTCTTTTCTGCACACCCTCCCTCCTCTGTGTGTCGGACCGGACCGGAGCTGAGCGGACGCTGTATAAATTGGGGCACAAACGAACAGCTACGAACCGCAGCGCAGCGGAGCGGAGACGCATGTAGTGTAAATCTGGGGTCAGTTGAAACAAAGGAAAGGATTATATTTCATCAAAAAGGTAAATTATAACAAAATATTGCAAAAGATGTTGGTTGTTCTCACTCAGCTGTGTCTAAAATCTGGAAGAACAAAATGGGAAGGGTGTAAAATGGAAGCAAGCTGGTAGATCAAGGAAGACAATAAAACCTAAAGCAAAATATGTCTTGAAAACAGAAAATGAACAATAAGACAAGAAAAACGTCAGCAGAAAGTAGAGTCAATCTCTATAAACAAACTGTAAGAAAAGAAAAGAAAAGAAAAGATAAGAAAATAAAGGAAGATAATTGCCTACAGAAAACTATAGAGGCCTGCATGTCAGGTAAAGACACAGGGCTGCCGGTCATTTTATCTTCAATAAATGCCAGCCTACATTGAAACTGTGGTCACTTTCTTGTTGAAACTGTTAAAAAGATCTTTATTTATGATGAATTCATTCATTCTTGCAGCACAGTGGCTCAGTTGGTAGAGCTGATGCCTCTCAGGAAGAAAGTTGCCGGATCAATGTGAATGGTTATTTGTCTCTCTATGTGTGTCTCTGTGATGGACTTGTGACCTGTCCAGGTTGCACCCCGCCCCTCACACTGTGACTGCTGGATATAAGCACCATTGACCCTGTGACCCTGAAAGAAAGAAGCGGGGATGGATGGATGGACTTCATTTTTCAAGATGATAATGCATCTTGAAATACTGCAAAGGATGCAAAAGCTTTTGTTCAAGAAAGACGTATATTGTCATAGTCATGGCTGGCAAATCATCCAGATCTCAATGCAGTGTTAAAACATGGCTGAGTAACTGGTCAGTGACAACACTCCAAACTGCAAAGCTGATCAGGCAACAGTATTAAGAGACAATGAACCAGATTGATGAAGAATACTGTTTGCCATTAATTTGGTCTATGCCTCAGAGAATACATGCTGTTAGAAAAGCCTAAGCTGGTGCAAAGAACACCCTCCAAGAGTGGCGAATCCAAATTTTCTGCCAAGGGGATGGTTGCACAGGCAGCATCCATTTCAGTAAACTGCACTGTTTCAGCTCATTATGTTGCAACAGCACAATTATTATAAGAACTGGTAGATCAGCATGCGTACATGATGTGTTACTAGGATCCATGCAGCATCACGACGTCAGCTTGGTGGTTAGCACTGATGCCTCACAGCAAGTTTGGTCCATGGTTCAGACCTGGGGTCTTTCTGTGTAGAGTTTGAAAGATCTCCTCGTGTTTGCGTGGGCTTTCTCCTGGTTAATGGTCTGAACTTGTAAAGCGCTTTACCATGTCCCTACGGACTCCACATGTCCACTCATTCACACGTCGGGTACTCTGATTTTCTTCACACAAACCACGTACACTAGGTTGCCTYCAGGCCCAGGCCTCCCATGTAACAGAGATCTGTGGTCTCAATAGGATTTGTCTGAATAAATAACGGTTAATAAATAGATAAATCATGAAGGCATATGTTGTGGGCATGAGTGAAAAGTGGTAACAATTTCACACCTGGATGATATGAAATATCAAAAGCTTGGTACGGAATGAGGTTTTGATGTTGTGGAGCAGGGGTGGTTCTAGGGGCGGGGCCACAGGGGCATTGGCCCTATCTGAAATTTGATTGGCCCCCTGAAGTGCCCCTGTCCTGTCACTCATCTGTCCTTCGCCCAAGAGTGGCTGCAGTTCCACTTCCAAACAGTAGTGGTGCTAATGAGTCAAATAGGAAAGTCCAGTTTGAAGCAAGCTTACAATTTGAATAATCCTGCAGAAAAAGTATTTTAACTGAMAACGATGGCTGGATTTTCTCACATCTTGTGTGCTTGAGAGTATTTTATTTATGTACAGTAAAAATGCATGTAAAATTGATAAGGATAATTTACTGTTCAAGCTTTTACAAGTGTCTGAACACGTGTGACTGATTACATTTATACACCTTACAAAGACTGGGGATTTGTGTGCAAGCATGTTGAACAAATACATGGCCCCTCTATGGATACTGTGGCCCCTTGATGGCCCCGTACACTAAAAAAATCCTAGATCCGCCACTGTTGTGGAGGCGGAAACTAACTAGTTTTTCCTCTAAGGATAAAAAGGACACCATACGGTGATTTGTGAGTAAAATGTGGATGACCTAGCAAAGAAATTGTGGAAAATAAATTATTTATTCCTCAAATGAGCTTAAAATGACAAAACATCATAACACCTCAAACATGGTACCTAGTTTAACAGAGCAAATTCCTCAATAAACGTTACAAAGCAGTGCTGAAATGTTGAAGTTATCAATTAGCCTGTCRTCTCTAGAACTACAAAAAGGTTTTATTTTGGCAAAAAGTATTTAGTAAAAATCAACAGAGTAAATGTCAGGATGATCAATAATGCAAAGGCCTAATTAAATTCAATTGAGCTGAACAATCAATGTCAACAAATCCTTGTTGTGGATACAGAAACACACACTAAAGAAAATAGTTGATTTAAATAAAAGGGAAGAAAAGAGAGCTGGGGGAGTTTTACATCTTTGGCAGGACTTTTTGAAGCCTTCCAATTAAATTCCTGTTCCTACAGCACCAGTGAGCGTCTTGCCTTTACTGGAGGAGGTGATGGCAGGTTAGGCATAGAGAGGTTAATCAATGCATCCCCGGGGTTGCATTGACATTTTACTATCTGCAGGAGGTGCTTTCCATCTCTCATTTGCTTTTCTCCCTGCATCTCGCCATTTCCCTCCAGCTCATTGTCTGTATGTTGCTTTATTCGCACCTCACCGCTTTTCAAGTAACAAATTGAYGTTAATAGCCTCCTCATTTTTATTTATTTATTTTTTGGAAGGTATATCATGCTACCTTCACACAATCTGGGCTGAGCTATTTTGTGCCGAGGCGATGGGTGGGCCTCATTTATCGCCGTGTTTACCAAACAGATTGAAATCTCGGCCTGATCCTTGCGTGCGTGGAGGCCAGCTTGCTGCTCGGAGCTGAAGGAAAAGACAGAGGGGAGGATGGCTCGGACCCAAAACGCCTAACCTGCCACAGACCTGCGCCCTCCAGGCAGCCACGTGTGTGTGAGGAGAGAGGGAGAGTAAAAAAAAAAATATATATAATAATCACATAAAAATGCATGCCCACACACATAAGCACACACATATGTGGCCTCAAGTGCTCCAAAAGCCTGGTGAGTCACCCTACTTAAAGCGAGCCCTGAAATAGACATTTTGCGCCTCGCCACACTGACTCAGTAAGAGAGTTATCTTCCCTTCACGCTCTGCACATGCTCTTGCTCGTAAATGGATGCTTTTTCAGCTACTGCTTTCCACAAGTGCGCATTACAATTTTCTAGGACCAATTTGGGAGGGGGGTCCTCCACGATCTGCCCGGATGAAAGGTAATGAGAGCTTGTTTGACGTTTCGTGCGCCGTCCCATTACTGCGCCTCGCTGAACATCGGTTCTCATATCTGGAAAAAAAAA